AGAATTTAGAGGGTTAATATGTTGTGGGGTCGTTAACCAATGTCATAAAACAACATGTGTACTACTGTTTCATGAGAAACTATTTGTTCTGTAAGCCTTCACCTGAAGTACAATAAAATATAAAGAAAGAAAGAATATTACCACTAAGTACTGTGTGCCTTTAAAAAAATCATCTATATAAGATCAAATGGTCAACAATTACTCTAAAGCAAAGCTGAAAGGGTAAGAGGACAGGGAAACCAGATTAGTGGAAGGGAAACATCCAGAAGGGACTTAATGAGCATGTTAAAACATCATGAAAAATGTAACCAATGTCTCTGAGCAATAAGTGTAGTAATTGTTAAATGGGAACCTAACTTGCTGTGTAAACATTCACGGAAAACACAAAATATTTTTTTAAAAAAAGATAAGTTTCAAAAATGTCAAAGATAATTCTTTTATAGTGGAACTGGAGGAGGAGAATATTGACACTCTCAAGGTTTACCTGATTTTGGCCAATCCTGAAGAGACAAACCCACTGACCTAATGTAGAAAATGTCAGCTAACCCACCACTAAGAGAGTAGTAATGCCTGTTGCTCCATCTTCTCAGAAACAGAAATCAAACATTTCCCTTTCTTGTAGGTAATGTTATATTCGTAGAACAAACAGACTTCAGAATGGCTTTCAAAGACAACATGTAGGTCAAGCCAACCAGCAAAAATCTTCCCAGTGGGGTGACAGCTTCCATTGTGCCTTCATGTAAGAGAGATCAGTGGTCCCATCTTACTCCTCAAGAATGAAGTAGTCTTAATCCTTAAATACTAACCTTTTGCCACTACCTCAATATGATACCATGTTTAAAAGTACTTATTCCAGTGGCTGTGCCTAACAGGTACTCAGACAAGGCTGGTTTCTCTTCTCTTCTCCAAAAGACATCATTTTCTCTTTTACAACAAAAATGAACTGCATCCTAACGAAAATCATATCTTCATTCTTACATCTATATTGAAGAGAAAAAATAAAAATAAAGAAACAAAACCAAACAGAGAGTGACTAGATGGAAGATGAAGAGAGAGGAGAGGAGATGAGGCCAGTGGAATGGAGGAGAGAATAGGTGAGGGCAAAAGAGAGAGAAGACAGGCATAGGGGACCGGAAAGGTTAGATGTTTCCCAGAACATATTCATTCCAGTAAGATAACGAATGAGGAAAACATTTCCATTTTCCTTTCTGACAGTCAGAGCAAAAACTGTTGCTATAATAATATCAAAAAGCATTGGTCATTCTCGCTAGTGAGAAGCCAACATTCTAGCTAATTTGAAATACTGGCACCTAGGTACCCTATAAATTGTGTTTTTCAAATGCAGGAATGTTATCTGCTGGACAAAAGGTGATGTGTACTGTCTAGTGGGCAGCATGCCGGCCAGACACCCAATTTTGAGTGTGTCTCCCTGTACTCTCGGTTCCAGCTCAGTCATCCTCAAAGCCAGGGCTGCCCCCAAAGCATACTGAGGATAAGAATAGTGTTTGTGACCCACAAAACAAAATGAGTCCTGAGTTGTCACCTCTGCTTCAAGTTGGCAGTAAGTAAATTAGCAGTTACCAGGGGCTGACGGGCAGAGAGGAATGGGGAGTTATTGCCTAACGGGTGTAAAGTTTCAGTTTAGGATGGCAAAAAATTTTGGAAATAGATAGCAGTGATGGCTGTACAACATGGTGAATGAAATTAATGCCACTAAATTGTATGCTTAAAACTTATTAAAACAGAATTTATTTATATATATATTTTACCACAATAAAAAAAAGGTTTAAAATTCATTTTTTAAATGTACCTCTGGCATCAGATTAAGCCTATAGATAGCCCTCATATTAAGCCAAAGATCTGCTGGCAAACAGCAGACACTAACTTACAGGAACCATCACTGATTAGTGAGGCAGCATTACTATCAGTATGGTGGCAACTCATCTGGCCTGGAGGATCATATTTGTATCCATTATACATTTTTTCCATAATATCCATAACATCACTATGGACTTAATGGAAAAAAAGATCCATGGAAATTTTCTATTATTTGGAGGAACTCCTATTATCCATGAAGATAATCATGATGAAAAGAGGCAAGAGACAAACACCAGAAATCCATGCATCCCAGCTCTTGTCTGTGTCATTCCACTTGGGTCTCCATTCACTGCTTCCTATCCCTCTCAGGAATGTTTATAAGTATTCGTAGCCTATAAAGATGAAATGGACACAATCCATACATATCTTTAGTGTGCCTGAATCATCAGAATTCTGAGCAGTAAACGAGAGGTGGCATGCAGGAGGGAGTGGGGAAGACCGTGAGAACGCCATGATGCTGTTCCTGGTTCAGAACACACTTTCATGAACTGTAAAGTAGAAGTGGAAAATTGGCATGAGTCTCTAAAGCAGTAATTTATCTGTCCTTCTCTTGGTTGTTATTGAGCACTGTACTGTGAGACTAAGGTTCTTTTCTAAACCTTTGATTGGCATCATGATTAGTAAGCACATGTTACATAGTGCTTATTCACTTATGAAGGTGGAGCAGTTGGAATATCCCAATACATGTATATATTCAGCCTATACCCTTCTCCAACTACTTTGCTGTTCTTCCCATTAAAATTCTGTGATAAGATATTAGACATAAATCTCATATAAGATACAAGAAACAGAGGAAGAAGGGTCACATGCAATCCATGATGTCATATCACATGTCTGCATACAGACATGGGCCATTAGACTTTCTAGCTAGCAAATGATAACCATGGACATTGTGTTTCTTTATATAAATTATCTGATGTTTAGTCATACATTATTGTTTACATCACAAACAGAAACAAAAAGCATATGCTCAGAGAATAAAAGGACAGGCAGTTAAACCAGGAGCAAAATTTACTAATCTGAGTTATGTTTCTAGCAATTATTTATCAGAGAAGTCTTTTTCTTAAAAATAAATTATGCGTGCCATTAACCCTAAACAAAGAGCTCACAAAAGGAGAGAAAAGAGGTAGCACAAGTTCGAAGCTTAACCAACAAAATAATAACACTGGCAATAATTATATTCCCTCTCTGAAATCATTATAGTCTGTTAATTTACAAATAGCACTAATAGCAACTTCAGGTTATATAACAATTTCTATAGTAACAAAAAATTAGCAATATGAGGTTCAGGTACACTAAATAATCAAAGAAGTATTGCTAAAACTCCTACCCTCATACTTCATTTATTCTTATAATAACTGACTAAATGAGACACACGGGTTGATGTCACATTAACTTTATTTCTAATCAAGATAAATGTTAAATGTCCAATCAATTCAGTCCTAATATTTTATAGGGAAACAGAGAGAGAATACAGTTGTTTGACCTAACAAAATTAGTTTACTACTATAACTGTATATCCAAAAGTCCAACTCTTCACACTGCATACCCTATATAAGATAGGATTTAAATTTCTCACATCTTGCCTATTCCAATATGCAAAGCCACATCAAATAAGAAAATATTTTCACATTTAAAAACACATAATTACCCCCAAAACTATTTCTGCTCAGAACCAACTCTATCTAGAATGGGCAAATATCCAGTTATTTCAATCAACGTAGAAATACAATAGTAATAATTTAGGCTCAAGTGGATTATTTCCCTGATTTATCCATTTGGAACAATGTAAGACTAAGAGAGGCAACTAATCCCCAATTGCTCTTTCCCTTCATACTGTGTTGCCCCAGACATACATAACTGCATTCACAGGTACACAATATAGTACTGTCTGCAAGGCTAGAGAAAAAGCAGCCAACATTCCCCATCAGGATGCCCACAAACTTCCTCATTAAAGCAATAACAATTATTCCTTTAACCACATACAGCGTTTATCACCCCCTTTTAATGAAGCTGGGCCATAGAGGGAAAGTTTTAATTTCGTATAGGTCAAGGCAGTGCATAGCTTTTCACTTTTACTGATAATCAGCTCTGATCCTCCAGCTAAAGCAACAAATGCAAACTCATCCTGGACTCTTCAGTGGGCTCGTGCTAACCAAAACCCTCAATAACTATCTTGGTTTCAAGGTATGATTTCCTTTTTGCCAGTACTAATGTTAACCAAAGAACTCTTGACCGATAAACACTCCAAATAACTCGTTAAAGAAAAATGACCCCGGCATAAAACGCAGTGGAAACCACTGGTGCAGAAGTTAAACAATACTGCTTCCTTAAGTTTAGTACGATTGTTGATTACAACCAGTGTGAAATTACCCAAGCAACCACTCTGAAGCACACACAATATTCAAATGCATCTTTATTATGGTAGCTCAATGGCTAGAAATTTGTCGCTGATAGCATTGCTATAAAATGCATAGAGCTGTTAGATCTATTCTTGGCAAAAAGAAAAAGGCAAAAAAAAAAAAAAAAAACCCTGAAATATGAAGGTTTTTCATGAGCATATGGCACTAGACTATAAATGCCCATAAACAAAGTAACAGAAATAACACAAGGAAAAAATAATTTAGGATTAAAAAAAGAAAGCTAGAATTGTTCAGTCAGGAGCAAAATTATTAAACCAATCATATGTTCACACTGAAACATTCACTCTTGCTACAGAGCTGCACAGTGGTCTATTTTCATTTTTAAAATATAATGGACTGTGTAATCCTAAATGTTCAGGAGTAAATCTAAAACAACTTCTTCTTATGGATGCTATTAAGTCAGGTGTGTAACAAACGAAATATATGGAATGCCCAGCTTGCTGCTACTGCTGACAACAGGTCAAGCTATGTAAAATCAACAGGGAAGTGTGAGGACAAAGTATGAGTAGTCTCACTGATTTCACTGCGTTTCTACATATATTTATCACTTAAGAACGGCAGATTATTTTTCAGTATAGTGTGGGGTTATGGATGAACTGGGGCATCCAATACAGCTGCAAAGTTGGTTTATACTGTGACCTTAGAAAAATCAAGAAAGCCAGAATCTCCTTATTGCCAAGAAAGTGAAGAAATCCTTACCTTCCTGTACACCAGCATGTTGGGTGATTCATCCGCCACCCCGTCGGTGGTCTGCCCATAATTATTCCCCTGGGCCATGTCACCCCAAACTGTGTCGCTCTCAGATACAGGAATTATCAGTCTGCCCTGCAAAGGGTTAGAAAGACTTCAGTGAGCCACTAGTGGTGGTGCTTGAGGGGGTTAATGCCCTTGATTCCTCTTCATCTTTCACAGCACCCCACAAAAGCAGGCTCGCAAGCTCCGGCTGGCAGGAGGAAGTGGTACAGAATATAGATTTAAAAAAAAAAAAGATTTTACACCTACAGAACCCCATGGAACTGTAAGAAATCACAATCTTTAGTGTTTTGGCTATAGATTTAACTGACTTCGTTTTCTAGATACTTGTTTTAAAAAGTGTTTGATGCTCACCTTAAAATCACACTGTTACCATTTCCGTACTACCAAGGGTTCTCCGCTCTCCCAATACTTGCATCTCCACTTGATATTGTTTTCCCAAAAGGGTGGAAGGCACACCCTGGGCCAGCAGACTTTCCCTCAGGTGTCTGTCTCGTTTCCACACTGACAGGCGAATCAGAGAGGCCCGTTCCCCGAGTCCTTCTCCCGTACAAGTATTTCCCCTTTATTCCCCTGGGTCTCCCACACACAGCCAGGGTAGGGTTCGCCTACTTCCACCTGCCTGCACTGCCAGCCACTGGCCCCGCGCCTCTCATCTACTCCGCCTCTAAGTCAGGACGCATTCCAGCCTAATCTTTGCAAGAAGGCACCAGAATATGTCCCAGCAACAAGAACTGGTCAGGGAGAAACCCTTCAGGCAATTACCTGGGTCAACATCGGTGGAAAGCTAACTGCAGAGGCCTCAGAGCAAGCAGTCAAAGAAAAAGGAGACAACAGCCCAGCCCGGATCCCTTTGCTTGGCTCTCACCGAGGCAGCAAATGGCAGGCAAGCCGGTGCCCCGAGCCGCCGCCAGAGCCCTCAGCGATGTTAGCCCGGTGGAGCGCGAGGTGAGCGGCGCCCGCAGCGCAACCGGGCGCTGAGCTCGGGAGGCGGCCGCCCCTGCGCCCGTCGCGCTCCCGCGGCGCAGAGCGAGAGGTGGGTGTAGGGCGGAGGCAGAGGGCTCCAGAGGCTCTCTCTCCTCCCTTCCCGCCTTCCCTATTTACCTCCTCGGCCAAGGTCAGGGCCCCGCGGCGTCGCCTCTCCCGGCGGGCTGGGTTCAGGCGGTGTCAGCTGGCGGCAAGCGGAGGAGCGCGGCAGAGAAGCTTCATCACACTCAGCGGATGCGGAATCCGCGCCGCCGCGGCTCTGCCCGCGGGCGACCGCCACCCTCGCCGCTCGCCCGTGCGCTGGCGGCTCCGGCAGCTTGCCGCTCGCGCCTGCTCCCCTCGGCGGCCTCGCCGGCTCGCTCGCTCCTTCGCTGCTCCTCGCGGGGACTGGGACCAGCCGAGCGCGCGCGGGAGTCGAGACGCCCGGCCCGTGCGCGCGACTGGGAGGAGGAGGAGGGGACAGTCACGTGGGAAAGGGGCGTCCGAAAGGTGCCGGCTGGGCTGGCTGGGCTCGACAGCCACAAGACCGCCGGGCTTCCCGGGCCTCTGCTGACCCTCTGGCCCCTCGGGAGGTGGCAGACCTGCCCCCTGCGCGGGCAGCCCACGCTCTCGCACACCCCGCCCGGGTTTACGCGCCGCTGGAGGCCGAGCAGATCAGAGCTTAATACCAAGTATAAGCCAGAAAGCGAGGACAGGTTTGAAGATGGGTGGATGGGTGGATGGATGGATGAATGGGTGGGTGAGTGAATGGTGGATGGATGCATGGAGACCCTTGCAGTCGGCATTTTCATGGCATGCTTGATGACTCCACCAGGGAAGCCGATGATTTATTATTGTTATGCTTAAATAACAGAGTATTTAACGAGAGTGTATTGAAACATCCTAGGCATGAAAGGAATGGCCAGAACCAAACGAATCATTCAGGCCGGTTTGCCTGCAGCGTTCCCAGCTTCCCCCTGTATTGGAGAAATGGGAAACGATTTGGAGACAACCAACTGGAGGTGAAAATCTTGTCACCAGTGAGTGAGACAAGGAACATCTCCAATGCCTGGGTTCTTCCTTCAACAGAAAGTGATCAGAGGAATTTCCTCTCGCCCTACTCTCATTCTCTAGTCATTTTCAAAGAAGGTCTGGGGTGCTGATCCCCCAGAAGTGTTCTTCAGGTTGCTACAACTCACTCTTCTGGAAGGATTAGAATGACATGAAAGTGGAAAAAGCAGTCTTGTGCCCTGTTATAGTAAAGCCACTATGCATGTGTCAGTTTGTCGTATCATGGTGGCTTCCAGGTTGCTGGGATGCTGGAAGCTATGCCACCTTATTTCACCCATGTGGATAGGTTTCAGAGGTGCTTCCAGACTAAGGTAGATTAGGAAGAAAGGCCTGGTGATCTACTTTTGAAAATTAGCCAATAAAAACCCAATGGATAATCAAATATTGTCTGATACAGTGCTGGAAGACAAGCCCCCTAGTTTAGAAGGCACTACACAATAACCACAACAACTAACTCAAACATGTCGAGGACCAAGAAGATGGTGCAGGACCGGGCAACGTTTCATTCTCTTATACACGAAGTTGTCATGAGTTGGAGCTGATACCACAGCGATTAACAACAACAACACAATAAACAAACGTGTGTCTTCCATCTGTCAGAGGCAAAGCTGGGAAGCTGGTAAATACCTAAGGTAGTTTTCGTTCCTCTGCTGGACCAGTTGTGGGCAGAGAGAGACAGAAGATAATCAAACCAGCTCCTTCTTATCCTCCTGGTCCCAATCAGAATAAACCTGACCCTAGGGTCACATCTGCTTTCCAAACCAAACACAGGTGACTATACCACCGCCCAGGTCCCTGTCAGGTGTCACTCAAGGAACAAATAATTTTGAAGGGTCTATTTCCCTGTTCTAAATACTATAGGGCAAAGATTAATATCCCAGACTATTCTACACACACCTCCCTGTCTCACCCATCTCACACTCTTCCCCAATTCCCAAAATATTTCCATTGTGCCCTCTGAAACTTCTTTAGCAAAATCCCGTTTATTTTCAGCTTCTCTGAATGTTCTGTTAGCATTCTCACTATAACTGAAACATACCTCTTGCCCTTCAGTCTCTCTCTCTATCCCTTTGCTCACTCTACTCCTGGGAAGTTGACGTGACTTAGATTAATAAATCTGGGAAGAATAACCAGGCATGATGACTCAGTTTGACCCTTTGCTGTCTTGAGAGGAAGCTGCCTGTAGAAAACAGGCTTTCTCTTTTGCATCCCCAAGTCAAGGTTCTATGCCATAGAGAGGCCTGCCCAGGCTCAGCGTTGCCTGTCTACTGCACATTCTCATCAGCATGTATTATTCTGCAACTTACTTGCAGAATAGCTCCAACTTTAAAAAAAAATAGTTCTCATTATTCACAGATTCCATATTGACAAATTCACCTACTCACTAAAATTTACTTGTAACCCCAAAATTATGCTCACAGCATTTTAACCATTATTTATGGATGTGGGCAGAGCAGTGAAAATTTTGAGTCATTCAATGCACACATTCTCAGCTAAGGTTGAGCAAGGTGACACTCTTACTTCTTTCAGCTCTCATACTATAAACAAGTGTCCTTTTCTCTGTCTATTTATTGCCGTGGTTTTCTTTTTCTTTCTTTCTTTTTTTTTTTTTTTTTGGCAATTTTGCTGTTTAAAATGGCCCCCTGAGACTCCATCAGGCTGAGACCAGAAGAACTAGATGGTGCTCGGCTACCACCAATGACTGCCCTGACAGGGAACACAACAGACAGTCCCGGATAGAACAGGAGAAAAGTGGGGTGCAGAACTCAAATTCTAGTAAAAAGACCAGACTTAATGGTCTGACTGAGACTGGAGGAACCCCAGAAGACATGGCCTCCACACTCTCTGTTAACCCAGAACTAAAATCATTTCTGAAGCCAACTCTTCAGACAAAGATTAGACTGGACTATGGGACATAAAATGATACTCATGAAGAGTGTGCTTCTTAGTTCAATCACATACATGAGACCAAATGGGCAGCTCTTGTCCTAAGACAAGATAAGAATGCAGAAAGGGATAGGAGCTGGTTGAATGGACACGGGAAATCCGGGGTGGAAAGGAAGAGTGTGCTGTCACATTATAGGGATAGCAGCTAGGGTCACAGAACAATGTGTGTACAAATTTCTGTATGAGAAACTAACTTGAGCTATAAACTTTCACTTAAAGCACAATAAAAAAAAAAAAAAAAGCCCCCCCCATCACAGTGCTGAAGTGCTGTCTAGTGTTCCTAAGTGCAAGAAGGCCTTATGGAGAAAATACATACGTTAGATAAGGCATGGGTTATAATGCCTTTGGCCATGAGTTCAATGTTAATGAACCAAAAATGTCAATTAAATAAGTTGCCTTTAAAGAGAAACACACATAAAACAAGATTATTTATTGATCAGTTGATAAAAATGTTGTGACCAGAGGCTCCCAGGAACCTAACCCTGTATTTCTTCTAGAAGAAATGATTCAGCATTCACTAATTCAATATTTGTGGTGACTTTATAGAACATAGCTACCACAAATAATAAGAATCAGCTGTGTATCTCCCTTGGCATACTTCCTCTTTTTTCTACATCTCTTTACACCAAAATCGTCCTCTCCTTCCAGTCTGTCTTGGACACTTCCCATTCAGGCTATTATCCCTACAACTGCAGTAAGACACAACTTGTCAAGATCATAATGACCTCCATGTTGCTAAACGAATGATCAATTTCTCGGTTACCATATTAACTTTTCAGCAGCAGTTAACAAGGTTGATCCCTCTCACTTTCTCAAAAACTTTCTGTATTTGGCTACCAAGACACAATTCTCAGTTGTTTCTCTCTTTGTATTACTGGCTGCTCTTCCTCAGCCTCTTCTCTTCCTCTTTTTCATTTCTTAGATCACTGAAGTTTAGTTTATCTCAGATCTCAGTCTTTGAGCCTCTTATCTTCTTGACATACGTGCACTCTCTAGGCGAGCTAATTCAGGCTCATGCCTTTAAATGCCGTGTAAATCCT